TGATGTCTATTGACAAATTTTTGGATATATATTTGTGGGTGACATGAATTTTTCAAATTAATGTCAAAGGAAGCGGGGGATGAATGTTAAGAACTTGAATGCATGGTGTGATAGCCTGTTGGTTTGAGATTATATGAGTTCTTTTATCTATTATTCTTAGAATCTTGTGACGTATTGCGCGAAAGTGGATATGACGTAGAGTAGTTAGTGTGTTGGGGTTGTTGTGAGAAATGGCAGTTGAAGCTGTAACTTATTTATGTAATAAAGATATTTAAAATGAAAATAAAGGTTGGTGAAGAATATGTTATTTAAACCCCCTGGACGACGAAGCCAACGAACCCTGTAAGTAAGACGCGGTTCGTAACAGTTTCGTTTGTTTAATGTGTCTCGCTTTATCAGTAGTGTAGTTCATAAAGCTAAAAGTTTGACTTTTATCGTGAATAAATCTTGTCTAATTGTAAATACTTTGGTCGACTAATGTTCCAAACTGGATTATAACGATCCATAGAAACGGATTCGGTGGATTGCGTCTGTTATTAGCGCCCGCAAAACTCAAGTCTACTCGCGGGGAGTTTTATAATTTCGCCAGCCACAATTGGTTTAGTAATTACAAAAGGCTTTTTCTATTAATAATGTTCTTAAAATATACATCATAGTCTATAAAATCCAGAATCAACTACACACTGATGACTCTAATCATCCTGATTGCTACTGCCTAAAGGAGACTCAACATGCTACTTCCACTGCCAAAATAAAACGAAGAAAACAGCTTGCGCCCAGTGTTAAAAGATAATTTATTCATAGCACACAGTTATTTGATTTTTACCTTCCGTCCCGACATGTCACAAGAGTACCCACTCTTTCACGAATCAGTACGTCCCATGCACAACACAAAACATGTTAACAAACCCGATCATAACAGGGTAAAAGCGAATGGGGTAGTTCAGTCCTAGCGCAATTAAGTTGTGGTGCAGGCCAAAGTTCTATACAAAATGTAAAGCGTTGGATTACCCTCTATACCAGGGGTCTCAAACTCAATTTAGCCGGGAGCTGCAGGAGGTAGAGTCTGAGTGAGACTGGGCCGTATCAAGTATTCCACAAAACATCCATTTTGAATTCAATAAAGTACAACTGCTACAATCTGCTCTAACGTTATTTATAACAAATAAAAAACATTAAGGGTTCTCCAGAACTAGGCTTTTTTTTCCCCCTTATTCTTTGTTGCAAGAGACCTTGCAGGGGGTTTCTGACACACCTGAGTAATATTTCGCTTCAATGAAGAAGCAATTGAGAACCTTAGTAACGCTTGAAGATGCTCATCAGTAAGTTTGGACCTGATCTTTGACTTGTTCAAGTTTAAAGTGGAAAAGAGCTTTTCTCACAGATAGATACACCCAAAAGGCACATGATACACTTGATTAACCTGAAAATCTCATGAAAGTTGGAAGGCAGATCTCCCATGGATTGTCCAAACGTGTCTGTTTTTCTATTCACCTCCCTAAACTTAACATTCAGATCAGAATGGAACTGAAGGTCAATCAGCTTCATTTGAAGCGCAAAAAGGGGTCGGATGCATCTTTCCAATTAAAGGAGAGAGGGTAAGTGACAATTTTAAAAGTGGCTCTATATGTTCGAAAGTCTGTAAATCTGTGATCGTTTTTGAATAGCCCTATTTTAAAAGTGACCAAGCTGACAGGCTCTGAATTTCTTTCACTTTTCCCTCGTACACACTTGTGGAAACGTTACTAGGCAGTCTTTGATACTGTGTCAGATTGCTACGATTTACATAATTATAGTTTTGCATTACCCATTAAATAACTATTTAACTTTTCTCAAGACTGCATATTTGCCATGGTTGTCTAATAAAATGCTTTAAAATATTTTTTTTTAATTAACCCGATTTCAAAACAGTTCTTACAATTATGATCAACGTCCTAATCTTGACAAATATAATAAAAATAATAATTATAGTAGTCTATATATCGTCTTGCCTGTCTGCGCGTTTGAGACCTCCGATCTTTACTAATTCAACTATAACTAACTTGGTGGCCCATGGAATCTATGTCTTTGACTTTGCTGTGAGTCTTGTAACATAATCTTAACAAAGCAATAAAGTAGTTTTTTTTAATCGTTAAATTATCGTATTACTTCGCCCCCGCCCACCCGAAAAAATATTAAAAAATAAACAAGCAAACAAACAAAACAAACGGAGTTGTAAATAATTTAATAAAATGATACACGATATTTTAACGCCTTACGTACGCAAAGACAATTTTTTTTTTGCATTTGACATGTTTTGTTCTTATTTGGATGAGTGATAAGTGCATTAGTTTATTGCTATTTGGCTTTGTAGTTTCGCTGCACTGATTCCATTAAATGTCATTTCGTATTAAAAGTATATTTACAAATTAAGCTCTTACTATTTTATACATTTTATAAAAGCATATTTCTTTAAAGAATAAAAGTACAAACTTATTAAATGTTAAAATTACAAAGCTAAAATTGTATTAATTTTAGAAAATTTTAGCAATTGAAAAAGTAATCTGTTATATGTATTAATTTTACTTTTAAGAAGGGGAAAATACATCATCATTTTTGTCACGCATGGTTATAAAGAAAATAACAACCTTAGAACTGTGGCTAAAATAGGCAATCAAGCTAAGTCGTCATTTAAGTAATTATTCAAATAAATTAATCTTATTTTATTTTCACAATATTAACAACGCACTAAAATACGCACTAAGAATAACAAATAAATAGATTTTCCCGAAATGTGATTACGATGCAATTCTTAGATCATAATATTTTGTTTTATAATTTTGTCATAACTTTTACATTGGGATAAATGTTTAAAATAGTTCCGTATTTGTTACTTTAAATATATTTTTAATTTCTAACAATAATACTTACACTTTACATAAATAAAAGCGGATATACATATTTTTCCGCATTTAAATTTATTCGATTTCCGTAAAAGAATAGAACATATCTATGATTGTTTTTAGGAAACCGGACGTACTTAAATCGTAACGGCTCTTTGGCGTTATGTCAGTATAGCTCATTCTTATATATATTCCCATTTTATGAATTTAAGTGGCTAATGCAATAAGTCACAATCTGTAAACTTTATGTTCAATTTGATCAACACATTATGATATGAAAATGAAACTCATTATATAGTTCATCAATATTATTTTTATGTAACTATTTAATCGTTTAAAACATTTTATACAATTAAATATATATATATACATAAATATATCTAAAGCAAAATACTGTATGCATTAAATGAATTAATTTAAAAAAATATATGTACAAAATATAAACCCCAAACTCAAAACTTTTAAAAAATAATGTATTAAATCATAGCAAAGGCTAAATAAATTATTGAAAATATAGAACCATTAATGAAGTGCTTGCATTATTCCGTCCTTTTATATATACACTTCATGTTACATTAGGAATAGACACACGAAAACACTATAACAGACATCCAAAAAATTGTGAAATTGTCACTTCGATGATTTTGATCATCTGACCGTCTTTGAAAGAAGTGACAATTCATAACAATTTTAGTGATATTTAATACATATATGTATATAAAATTAACTGCTGCGTATCATTATATTATACTGATAGTGAATTTGTATATATATATATATATATATATATATTACAGATAAAGTTAGTTCTGCCATAAATGTTTTTTATAAATTAATACACTGTATTCACTGTATTAAAAAAAAAACCAAAGGACAAACATACATGAACTTTTATTAATGGCCCTTGGCCCATAAAGGGGTTTTCGGATGGTGTGGTCCAGCCCCTGGACCACTTTTTTCCATCATATTTAAAGGCAGAATTCTCGGCCAATTGAAAATTTACTTTTTTTTGTTATTTTTTTTTTTTTTTTTTTTTTTTGAAAAAATTTTTTTTTTTTTTTTTTTTTTTTTTTTTTTTTTTTTTTTGGCAAAAAATCTTGGTTTGCTTTTGGAGGCACTAACCCTAACCAACGCAGCTGTTGAAAACGCTAGAGCAACTATAGTAATTAAAGGGAAGAAAGTAATAATGATCAAATCTCAATAATAACTGTAACAAAAATAACATGTGTAGTGAATAATGATAATAAAATTGTATAACATCAGTGGGGTACCGCAAACTAGCGGAGCCACAACCTTTGGTGGTTGTTACTCCCAGGGGGCGTCAATTTGGTTACATGAGAACCTTACAGAGCATTCTGATAAAATTGCCATCCAGGGATAGATGCCTTTTGTAAGAGTAGACACATGGCAGTAGCAGCGCCATACACCCCCCCCCTGCACGTCCACACCGTGGTCTGCCCATGTTCTAATTAATGTGTAAGCTGTGTATAGGTGAGATGCCGTTGGAAAACCAACAACACGAATATCCCATTAAACCTTTTCACTTCCCAAACAATTTCCATGGAGCATCTTGATCTCCTGATCCAGACATTTCCCTTTGCCCAAAATGCGTTTCATCCACCCTTCACAATCTAAGAAACACATGTATAAAAATAAATTCTCAACACCCTTCACAATTACCGACATCTCATCAGTAATTGCAAACAACGTGGCATTAATACGATAAATATGTTGTAAACAACTAACTTTGCTTTAGGCTTCATTTACTGAAAATAAAATTGTGGAAAATGTAGTTAAATTATTTATGCACATCTCTTAAGTTACATTTCAAGGAGACAACAGTAAGGGTTCAATTTATTCAATTAGTAACAAACCATTGTAGATTTTTTTTTAAAAATGGATCGTTCAAAAGATAATACTAGAAATGTAATATACTTTTAGATGTAGATAACAATCCAGATGCTTGTTACATTGTTATTAACTTCTATATTAAAATATGAATGCAAGTATAACATGAAATAAATGTGCAAAAAATATTTAAAAAATAAAAATATTTTCACGTTTATAATGAATTGAACAATTTAATTTAAAATAGAGAAAACACCATAATTTAAATAGCATACATTTATTAAAATTTGACAGTGAGAAATACCAAATTATACCATTCAATTCTATATGGCATTAACCGATGCTTAACCGACTTTAGCCTGTATACGCTAACACTAACCCTTCCGATAACCATACATAAACACTATTTTCGTGAGTTTTGTTTTAAACATTAAATCAAAAGACAAGACCATTTTTATTTTAAAATTTATCCACACATGATTTGGTGTTGTTTATTATTATTAAATAACCACTCCACTCATTCATGTAGACATTTAAGTTGTCTGTTCGTTGGTTTGATCAAACATCATCAAAGAAACTATTTACCGATGTTCTCATAAGGAATGAAACAAAATTTGAAAGAAATTTTAACTTCGAAAAGCATTCTTAACTCTCATTTTTTACGGCTCTTCAAACTCCTTATTTTCCATAAATATGAGGTTCAATTTCCAAAGATAAATATACTAATAAGCAAAGAGAATAATTCGGATATATATTATAATTTAACTTTTTCAAAACTTACTTTTCAGTATAAATAAAACATTTTAAAGTCATGAACAATTTATGTAAATATTTACAAATGTGGCAAGGAACGCGACACAAAAAGAGACACCTCAAAGAATATATTTTTGTTATATCCTGACGAATGTTTTGAATCTTATTTCCAGGAACCATTTCAAGAAAAATACCAATGCTCAATGCAATAAAAAGAAAGTGTGTCAACTACTAGTTCAGATAAACAAAATCAGAATGTTGCCGTGATGATAGAACCTTCTGGTAGTTGCCCCATGTACCATTGAACGAACAGAGTCTTACAGTTAATGAATAAGTGAATAAATGAAGGCACTGTCTTGAGTTGCCAAGGGTGATTGGACTGACGTAAATTGCTAGATGAGAGCAGTGGGTGTTGGTGATAATTTACTGCATGCCGTTTAAATACTAGAAACATAAATTGTGCGTTCTCAAGTTGATGAGGTGCGACGGGATGTAATGGTGCGAGGGCGACGAGACTATCTCAACGCTTGTTTTCTGTGTTGTAACGTTTTTGGAACACAGTAAATAATAAATAATAACTATTTTTAAAAATATTTTACGTGATATACATGTATGTACTATTATAAAAAAAAACTCAAAAATCTATGAGTCAACTTTATAGTGTTCTTTAGAGATAAAAAAAAACTAAATTTCAAAAAAAATAAATTACTTAGGTCAGTAGATTGGGCTTTTTTCGTCCGAATGTTTCAACCTAGATTTGTCCACTGTCATTGGTACGACTTGTGACTGACAGTTCATCTCTACAACTTTGATGCTGTCAAACACATCTGTGAGGGACTTGTTCTTCATCTCTGTGATAAAAATATTCTTTAATTCTTGATTGGATACAATTTTTTCACCAAACACAAACAATAGTTTGTTGTAACAAACAGCACCATGTAGGTTCCATTCGAGGTCCCATAACTTTTCTAATTTAATGAACTCAATGCAATCAGAGTTTGATCTGGTGACAAGCCAAAGATTTCCATTTTTCTGAAGTAGATACAAGTGTTTGCCGTGTTGAAAACTGGTCATTCTTTCAGCAGGGCCTTCGATTTCTGAAAGAGTGACCAATTCCCTGTTACTTGGTTTACAACTTTTGATTTCAGTTCCTTCTTCGGACACGTAAAATAGCAAAATGTCGTCCTCAAACAGTGTCGTAAATGTAGGATTACGCCACTGGTATATTATACTAAATCCGACGGATATTTTATAATAATTTGTAAAAACAGTTAACTCCCCATATGAACCTTCAATAGCTATAACATTGTCATTGTAATTAAGCAGGAACGACATATTTCTACTCTTTAATTTGCCTACATCTAAAAAGGAATCGTCCTCTAGGTTATACATTTTAAAATATTTGAAATTTTCATACGTCCTACGTTTGTTGTTATCTGTCGACGGTAAAAGTTCCTCTACTGTGACATAGAAACATAAAAGAGAATTTATAGCAGTGAGCCCCACAAAACTAGGAAAACACCCCTTTTCTAATTTTTTATCAAATAAAATATAAACACCATCATTTAGGAGACTGTAAAAAAACACCAGATTATCCCAGAAAAAAGCAACCCCATTAATGATATTACTGCATTCTCTGTATCTCACGATGGTATTTCTGTAATTGACAGCCTTGTATTTATACATCAGGGCATCATACACAATATTCATGGCATCTGGTTTGGAGGTTATCACTGGATTTCTCGTCAGAGTTTCAAGGCATCCTCGACTTACCAAAAACATTCGAGCTGATCTCAGTAACTGTATTAAATGGTTTCCCCTGTCAGATACTACAGAGGAATTTAATTCCCTTTCTGTTTCAAGTGTCTGGTTTTTGTGCTCATTATCCGTCGGCTCTTTTACTGATGTTTGTTGTTGTTGTTGATGTGGTTCACACCCATTTACTTCTGCCCTGTTGTCTGCATTATCAATACTGCAGAAAACAGCTTTAGATATATCAGGGGAACTTGCATTCAAAACTGTTTGTTTATCATTAGTTGCATCGAATACAATCGTTATGTTATCTTTGGTAAATTCATTGATTTGTTCATTTGATCCGTTATTAGTATGACCCGCCTCTGGGTTTCTTTCATTTTGGCTGTCATTTTTTCTTTTATTTGAATGGTTGTTTGTATCAACATCGTTATTAATTTCACTAGAATTTTCTTGATACCTGCAGACATCGTCAGTTCTGCCATCGATTTGCACTTGAACATCATGATGTTTGTAATTGATCCACTGAAGAATTGATTCAATAACATCATCTTCGGAATCTGCAATGAGGTTGTGACTGTCTACCATATTACAGAACTCATCAGCCGATAGTTCAAAGAATGTCTTTGTGTCTGTTATTTGTTGGAAATTTCTAATCATAAAATCATGTGAATTTTTCACAACAGCTTTAGACTCTAACAACATTGCATTTTCATAATAGATTTCAAAATTAGTTAATGACATATCTTGACTTACAAAATACTCACACATTTCTATAAGAAATGCAATGTCCAAAAAAATGGTTGCTCGCCACACTGGTAGAATATTTTCCTTTGTTAAACCATTTTCACCTTTATAAACAGCGTTGATGATGACAGCAAATGTTTCTTTGCTCATAGATTTCAGCACAGCCCGATTCTCTGAGTTTTCCCTCATCTCAGCCCGTAGAAGTCCGTTAAAGAAACTAGAGCAAGAACTTAGAATAAATTTATGACAGTTGAACTCCATTTCTTCTACAACAACTGTGAAGTCACTGTAATCATCATGTGTCCATTTCTGACCGATACACTTTTGAAATCCTTCAGCCACGAATGATTTGAAGTTTCCAACATAAAAACTCATTCTGAATGTTTCGAATTCTTTTCTTTATATATAAGCCAAAGTTTGATTAATAGAAGAATCTGTTAAAATAATACTTAAGGTAAAACGCTGGAGAGCATCATGTCTGTCGTCATATAGTGTGACTTAGTTGTTTTTTTTTAAAGATTGAAATTCCTCATGTGTGACATGGTTTTTGTAAATAAAACTTTTTTTCATGACATAGAGGAAAATACTTAAAAAGTGTCATGTGGGAAAATTTCCAGTTCTATCTGCCCTGCAGGATCTCCTGTAGAAAGAGATAGCCAAAAATTTTCACCATGTGTAAACTCAAATATAAAATGTGAATGCTCTTTTGATAATTATAATCGAAACAAAATGTTTGATGAAATGTAAAATTGAACTTTAACGCATCTGAAATGCATGCTACAAAAGATTAAATATATAATTTATACATTGAAAGCAACGTCGTGGCTTGATAAAAGTAAGGAAATTCAAAAGTGTTGTGGATGTTCTTGACTTTTAAAGTGATCGACATCAAGCTCTGATTTAAAACCAATGATATTCCAAAATGTTATTTGTTCATCAAGTAAAGTATGGGTGAGTGCAAAATGTTTTAGCACTGTGGCTTACGCCCAAGAAATTCTTTTGGATTAAAAATAGCTGTAATCTATAACTAGTCCTTGTCCGTCAAATCTAGAAAACAATTTACATTACAAATGATAAAATGTAAACATTCATTTTGTTAAATAGAGTGAATTTAATACATCAACATTTTTATAAAAGAAAGGACTTACAAAATTTTAATATAATTTTAATTAAATAGATTTAGTCCTACAAATCCACACACCTTGATGGCAGTTACTGGCGTTCCTAGTAAAAAGGCTTCCAGTTTCACTTTATTGGTAAGCACTCTTTTCTACCCTAGTTAACAATCTGTCAGTTATGTAAAAAGCTTATCACCAGGTAAAAAGTGGTCCAAGTATTAGCTTTAATCAGTATGATAAACACTACATGTTTTCAAGTTCACTGCGTTCAGCTTTTTAAAATCCAAACTGAACGGTAAAATGAACATGGTTTAAGAAGCAGTAATTAGAGGCACTAGGACTACGAGCTTTGTCTGTCTATCTATCTATCCATCCATCCATCCATCCATCCATCCATCCATCCATCCATCCATCCATCCATCCATCCATCCATCCATCCATCTATCCATCTATCTATCCATCTATCTATCTATCTATCTATCTATCTATCTATC